GTGCGCATGAAAGATATGAATTAAGTGTACATGTCAACATGCATGAATGCATTGTGTAGACACGTAAAACAAAATAAATCACAGGGGGAGGGGGGTCCCCCCACACTAATCTGTAACCTACATTAATTATTTTCCTGATTTTCGTAATCTCTTCCTTATTAAGATTTCAAATATATATTTAGATATCTTTCAATAAATCCTGAATTATTCAAATATTCTGCCAAAGAAATTCCATTATTTTGATCAAAAAAAATGAAAAAAACATAAATTCAATTACGGATCCATCTGGATTAGATATTTTATTTTTTTAAAATTTCTTGATGATCTTTGCCATTTCAATATATTATATTCTAAGATTTTTTGTAATCAGCTCTCAATCTCAACCGCAATTTTGCGGAAATTGAACTATAATCATTCTTACACAAAGATATTATTCACCCCGCTTCGCGTGGGGTGGCCGCCCACACCGCAGGTTTATTTCGGTCCGTGAGAGGGGCTAAGGGTGGTTTTCCCCCGTGGGGCTCCCCAAGCTAAGAATTTTCACTTTCCCCCCCCTGGGGGCTCCCCAAGCTAGGGAATTTTCACTTTTCCCCCCCGTGGGGGCTCCCCAAGCTAGGGAATTTTCACTTTTCCCCCCCGTGGGGGCTCCCCAAGCTAGGGAATTTTCACTTTTCCCCCCCGGGGGGGCTCCCCAAGCTAGGGAATTTTCACTTTTCCCCCCCGTGGGGCCTCCCCAAGCTAGGGAATTTTCACTTTTCCCCCCCGTGGGGGCTCCCCAAGCTAGGGAATTTTCACTTTTCCCCCCCCGTGGGGGCTCCCCAAGCTAGGGAATTTTCACTTTTCCCCCCCGTGGGGGCTCCCCAAGCTAGGGAATTTTCAAAATAGCTAGACAACGACGCCTAGATAGTCCCCCAAATCCCGTGTTCTTTGAATGTGTTTCCATGTTTTTGCAATGGTTTCCTTCAAAGCACGGTACTTTACACTTTTTTCGCCATAAAACCGGTCGAAAACACCATGTTCGACAATGCTTCCAATTCCCTTATCTCCCCAACCGTTGAAAATACCGCTATTTACAGTGTTTGCTTCAATTTTTCCATGTGCCAATGCCGGTAGCCAACTCCAACAAATTTGTAAGAAATCCTTCCAAAACATTGTTTTGACAGTGTTTTTCCAATGTTTCCAGTCAAGCAGACGGTAATTTACACGTTTTTGGCTATAACGTCAGTCCAAAACACTTGTTTTTGCAGTGTTTTCAATGCTCTGGCATCCAAAAACCCTGCAAAATTTTGCTATGTACAATGTTTTTTTCATTTTTGGCCGTTTTTCCATTGCCGGAAAGCTACCAAAATGACCCAAAATTCCATTTCAATACCCTCTTGCGCTCAGACACCCAAAAATCCTCGAAAAATGTCGAAAACACCACCGTATTCTGGTCTCGGTGCGAAACCGTTTTTGGGTCCCCCTCCCCCAGCTAAAGCTGATATAGCGACTGCTATATTAACAAATGTCATTGAGCATTTAGTGTTGCTGTTGCCTTCCAATAAGCACGCCTTCACCGCCAAAGCGGTGTAGGCGGATTTTTTAAAATTCGAGATAATAAAAAAAATCAATTTAAATTATTTTATTTCGTGTGATCCCCCACATTGCATTTATATATTTTGATATTGGCAAATCTTCTGGCATTCTATCTGATATTTTATCTGACATATTTTCTGACATTCTAT